TTCCTACAGGACCTTAAACTCGCCGGTATTATACAAAATACACGTTGTACATGAAATTCAACAAATCATTTTATTTAAAATCAACATTTAACCCCCTTCTCCCAAACCCCCCTCTCTCTTATGATTTTTTATATACATTGTATATAGACTGGTTAAGGAACAGGAATCGAGTTCTGTCTTTTTTGGAGGGTATTAGTGTCGATATGGATAGTCAGCTGGAGATGGCGAAGGCTTCCCCGTTTATTTTCTATATATATATATATATATATATATATATATATATATATATATATATATATATATATATATATATATATGGCAACATCGTTCATCAAAATAAAAAACTGATAGATTTTATGTAATTACTGTGCCAAGTTATATTGGCCTGCTTTCACAGTCTTCTAAATATGTATATAAAAAAAAAATAAATATAACAATATATATATATATATATATATATATATATATATATATATATATATATATATATACCATTGCTAATCAAAATAAACAATTGCATCGATAGCCTAGATAGGCAGGGTAGAACAAAAATGCATATCAACAATCAATAACACATAATTAAACATGAACATGCACTACAAAATTTTTGAAAAGGAACTACATGTATTTGAAGGTGATAAAAGCACAGGTGTCCACTAAATATGGAGTAGAGATGAAGAGTGACTCTATCGCAAGAATTCTTTTTTTTTCTTAATTATTTCTAAATAAAATGTTTTTCATGTTTTAAAAAACGATAAAGGAATCGTGTATCTGTTTCTTTCCTTTAGGGTTTGTATATTGGTGGATGTATATGTAGCAAGATATTAAACATTTTACTTGCAATTTAATTTAAATGGAGTACGAGCTGGTTAAAACTTAATTTTATTTTTGCCATCAAATTTTTATTTCTTTCTTTCATAAACTTAAAACACCATTTTCAAATAACAGAGTTGCAATTTTGAAAAGTATACACATGCATATTAAAAAAATTATTTTTCCTTGGTATAGAGATAAAATTAAAATTTAAATGACAAACTCAAACTTTTATCTAAAGTGCGGGTTGTGATTATTTGACATTTTGAATAAATAAATGAAAGGCCTAAAGGTTTTTTTTTTTTTTTTTTTATATATATATATATATATATATATATATATGGCAACACCGTTCATCAAAATAAAAAACTGATGCACTTTTTTATGTATCTTAGTGTAGTCTACTTGTGTGCCAAGTTATATTGAAATCAGATCAAAACTGTAGGAGAAGCAGAAAAATTGTTGACAGACAAACGGACGGACGACGGACACCTTACTATCGCATAAGCTCTTCTGGTCTCTGACCAGTAGAGCTAAACAAGAGGCCCATGGACCTTATAGGTCACCCGAGAATCATGCAACAACTTTCAAATGATAGAATTTGGTTCATGTTTTAAGATAGATGCTACAACATGCACAATTTTGAAAGACGCTGGCACCATTGCTAATCATAACTATGAACTTAGCAATTACTTAGTTTAGTTACTTAGCTTCCTTAATACCAATAGGCAGGGTAGGGGAACAAAATGCATATCAACTAATCAATAATATTCAGCAATAATCAGAAGTGCCCCTACCACACATGAACCCCTGACCCCAGGTTCACACATTGCACAATTTTTGAAAAGGCACACTTGCTTCTGGAAGAAGAAGAACCCCTGCACATCATAACTATATAGGTAGTTCATCGGCTTATTACCCAGGAGCAGAGAAGATTTTCAAAGAATTAATGTATTTTCACTATAAAATCATTATAGAGCCCCGCCCTAACACCAGAACCCCTGACCCTGGGGCCATGAAATTCATAATTTTGGTAGAGGATTTCTTGCTCATCATAACTATGTACTTAGTTAGTTTAATTAATACTCAGGGGCAGAGAAGATTTTCAAAGAATAAATGCATTTTTCACTACATATTCAATAGAGCCCCGCTCAAACACAAGAACCCCCTGACCCTCGAGCCCTAAAATTCACAATATTAAAATATGCACTCCTACTCATCGTAACTATGAACTTAGATAGTGTTTTTAATACTCAGGAGCAGAAAAGAAGATTTTCAAAGAATAAATGCATTTTCACTTTGTAATCAATAGAGCCCCACCCTAACACCAGAACCCCTGACACTGGGGCCATAAAATTCACATTTTTGGAAGAGGCACTCTTGCTCATTATTACTATATATTTAGTTAGTTCATTTAATACCCAGAAGCAGAAAAGAAGATTTTCAAAGAATTAATGCATTTTCACTATATAATCAACAGAGCCCTGCCTTAACATCAGAACCCCTGACCCTGGGGTCATAAATTCACAATTTTAGAAGAGGCACTCTTGCTCATCATAACTATGTACTAAGTTAGTTTATTTAAAATTCAGGAGCAGAGAAGAAGATTTTAAAAGAACTAATGCATTTTTTCTATATACAGTGGACCTTAAGATATCCGGACGCCAGATATCCATTTTTAGAAGAGGCACTCTTGTTCATTAGACTACATATTTTTCATTGGAACGGGATTCTGTAATGTTATTTTGTCTATGTTTAACTGGTGATTCAGGAATCCCAAACCGTTTCACATTTTAGAAGAAAAAATGACTGGTTAATTTAAAATTCAGGAGCAGAGAAGATGATTTTTAAAGAATTAATGCATTTTTTCTATATACAATGTAATCAATAGAGCCCCGCCCTTGCACTAGAACCCTAACACCAGAACCCCTGACCCTGGGGCCCTAAAATTTACTCATTATAACTATGAACTTATTTTTTTTTATTTAATACCCAAAAGCAAAGAAAAAGGTTTTCAAAGAACTAATGCATTTTTCACTATATAATCATTAGAGCCTCGCTTAACACCAGAACCCCTGACCCTGGGGCACTAAAATTCACAATTTTGAAAGAGGCACTCTTACTCATCATTACTATGTACTTCGTTTGTTTATTTAATACGCAGGATCAGAAAAGAAGATTTTTAAAGAATTAATGCATTTTTTCTATATAATCAATAGAGCCCCGCCCTAGCACTAGAACCCCTGACCCTGGAGCCATAAGATTCACAATTTTGGTAGATGCACTCTTGCTAATCATTACTAGGTACTTAATTTATTTGATACCCAGGAGCAGAGAAGATTTTCAAAGAAATAATGCATTTTCACTATATAATCAATATAACCCCGCCCTAGCACTGGAACCCCTGATCCTGGGGCCATGAATTTCACAATTTTGGTAGAGGATTCAATGCTGATAATAATCATGCCAACAGTTTGACTGCTTGATGTCCAGGAGTAAAGAAGATTTTTAAAGATAGCAATAATTTTAGTGGTTTTGCCCCCCCCAAGGGGCAGGGACCATGAAATTCACAATTTTTGCTCCCCTTCACCCATAGATGGTATATTCTTAAATTAGTTAAATTAGTTCAGCGGTTTCAGAGAAGAAGCTGAAAATGTTCAAATGTTAACGCACGTTGCACGACGACGGACGAAAACGGATAGCAATAGGTCACCTGAGTTTACTCAGGTGATCTAAAAATTACAGGTAATCCTTCTGTTTCTTATTCTACAATTTTTTAATATTTCAAGAATACAGAGTCATTGCATTTTCCAGCTCTCGGGGATACGTTCACTTTTTCTAGGCCAAAAATAATATACAATGAAGAGGCAGGTGATTCTTCAGATGGTAAGGCCAATCTAGCTGCATCTGTAGAAGTGACAACAAGCACCGAAGAACAAATCCTTCTTACCGAAAATACAAAATTAGATGATAACATTGAGTCTGGTTCTGAACCAATTGTTTCTCTTCTTGACATTGGTTTAGGAGAAAATGCAGAGCCAAATGACAATACTGAGGATGATTCTGAACAAAATGCTTCTAATGTGGATAATGATTTCAGAGAGGATACTGAAACAAAGAGCAGCAGAAAGCGGACAAGGAAGGAAGATCAATGGAGAAAAAATATAAGAAAACGTCGTCAATCAGGAAAACAATACAAGGACTCGAAGGCAAATGTACAAAGAACCAGAAGTCTCTGTCGAGACTGTAGCTCTCCTGGTTTATACTTATAATAATGGAAGAGGAAAGGTAGCAGTTGGTGTATTGTTATCGGGTATTCAATACTAAATGATAGGTCCGCCAGTAGGACTCTAAGAACAGTAGAACACCATGTGCGTGCGTCCACGTTTATTCAATCCAAAAACGTAAAACGTTCGTTATATAAATCAAATCAATTCGTACATAAAATGATTGATAATGTTACATCTCCCCTTTTCCAATGTTTTTTTTCGAAATTGATATAACAGAGAAAATCAATAAAAAGTTTAGGAATTATCTGATGTACAGAGTTTTTAATTAAATAAACATTACATTGATGGTTTGATCTTTGGAACACAAACTCTGCCTGAGCGTGTAATAAAGGTTTTTTTTTTTTTTTTTACACTTTTGGATTGGGACATTTCAAAGTTTAGAATAGGTGGGGAAGAGGCAGGCGATTTGGTTGGTGTGTGTTTAATGGGGCTTAACTCTGAGTCATCTGCTTGAGCATCAGCCAGAATAGGCATATTAGCATCAAAACTGCAAGGAGATTCATTTTTTTCATGAGATGGCGCCTATTCCTACGGTAAGTACCACCATTAGGGGCATTGATGATGTATGACCTATCATTCACTTTAGAAAACACAGTAGCAGCCTTTCAAGTTTTGTCATCCTGTTGAAATCTTAACACTATCTCCTATCTCAATAGGGGCAAGTGGTTTTGACTGCTTGTCAAGGTTTTTGGTTAACATGACCTTGACCTTTTGGTAATCAATGACCTTTGGAATAAATTGATCAGTAAGAGTTGGTAAGATTGAGCGTAATTGTCTACCCTGGAGGAGCTCAGATGGGGAATAACCAACCTCTAATGGGATAGTTCGATATTCGAGAATACCTAAATATGGGTCACGGTTATCAAGTTTGGCTTTCTCGAAAATACGCTTGGCAATTTACACCGACTTTTCTGCTAAACCGTTTGACTGAGGATGCCTTGGGGAGGAAGTTGCATGAATTAAGTCATACTCTCTTGAAAAACTTGCAAATTCTTGAGAAGAATACTGGGGGCCATTGTCTGACACTACTTTTTGGGGGATGCCTAACCTAGCAAACATGCTTTTAAGCTTCGTAATTATTGTTTTGCTCTGGGTATCTCGAAGCTGGACGACTTCAAAGTGTCGACTATAGTAGTCAGTGACAATTAAAATATCTTTGTTGTTCCAAAAGAACAAATCTGTGGCAACAATCTGCCAGGGACAATCAGGCACCGGGTGTGGTTGGAGGGGTTGCTTGGGATTTGAGTATCTGTTCTTCAGACATACATCACAATTTGACACTAAGTCATTGATATCAGATGATATTTTGGGCCAAAATACTGATGTGCGTGCCGTCTTGAGTGATTTCTCAATACCCATAAGACCTATGCATTCTAGTATCTTAGCTCCAAGTGAGTGGGGAATCAAAACATTGGTACCCTTAAGCAAGATACCATCTGTGATGGTCAGTTCATCTCTGTGATTCCAGAATTCTATAATTTGAGGGGGGCAGTCTCTACGGCATTCAGGCCAACCATTAAGTATGGTGTGCTTAAGCAACTGAAATTGTTCATCAGCATTTGATTCTCTCTCAATCTCTTTCAGTTTTCTGTCACTGATAGGGAGGTTTGCCATTACAGAGTGTACATGGGCTTCCATGTCTTTAGAAAGACTTGGGAATGTTTCATCAACAAAATTGCGTGACAAAGAGTCAGCAACTCTAATTTGTTTTCCTAGAACATAGTCCTTTTCCATAAATCAAATCAATTCGTACATAAAATGATTCTCGATAATGTTACAGTTGGGACTTAAAACTTTACAAAAGCAACCGATAGAATAATGATCTTTGATTACGTCTCTTTTTGTGGCAAGATTGCAATAAGACTACAACTGTAAGAGTAGCTTTTAATAAAATTTTACAAAATTTTCAATTTAATTTAAATTATTCTGGCAACATCAATCATCAAAATCAAGAACATAAAACTGATAATTTAAATAATCTTAGTGCAGTCTACTTGTGTGCCAAGTAAAATTGAAATCAGACCAAAAGTGTAGGAGGAGTAGCATTTTGAATGTTTTTCAAAGAAATTTCTATTTTTAGTAACCACGGCAACACCGTTCATCGAAATCAAAAACCGATAAACAGAATTATGTATCTTAGTGTAGTCTACTTGTGTGCCAAGTTATATTGAAATCAGACCAAAACTGTAGGAGGAGTAGCATTTTGAAAAATTGTTTACAGACAGACGGACAGATTACTATCGCATAAGCTCTTCTGGTCTCTGACCAGTAGAGCTAAAAAGGGAGATAACGAACAAGAAAGATTGTGACAGAAAATGTTAATTTCGATGCAGTTTGAACATTACCTCTGACGAAAGAAATGCTATTTTCTCTGAGTTTTGGAATTTATCAGATGATGGAAAACATAAATTTTATGCAAAAACTACAGAAAGAGCACTGAAGGAACGAGAAAAGACTACGGCTGCGAGATAAAGAATAAAATACTCAAATATTAAAATATTTTTTTTGTTAAGGCCGAGGAAAATGTTAGAGTTTGCAAAGAATTTTACTTAAGTACTCTTGATACAAGTCAAAGAAGAATAGAATGGTTTCATAAAATGAGTTTACTGACAAAAGGGGAAAACACACTAAGTCACAAATTACATACTAGTACTAGTATAATGTAAAAACTCTCATAAGGGAACATAGAGTCTTTCCCGAGGATGCCTACACACTATTGTAGAGCATCTTCATCAATATAAAGTCTCTCAACAACTTTGAAATATAGTTCTGTGCCAAACTCAAAGGTGAAGGAGCTTGAGTACGTGTTAGAAAAACCTTTCCATGCGCTTTTTAAGATGTCATTTGCAGAATCAGAGTACACAGAGGTATCCATCAGAGGACAAACAACAAGAAGTAAGGATCCCTGCCCGAATTTTCCCTTCCAGTGCCAAAATACCTAACAAAGAGTCCTGTTCTGTCCAACGAGAAGAACGCAGATTTTAAATCAATGTTAAAATTTATGCCTCTTCAAGATCGAGAATTCTTTGAGATATTTTGCAAGTTGAAAAGAAACTGAACTGAGACATGAAAACACTGTGAAATGAACTTGAAAATGTTAAAATGACAATGAATCAAATATGTGGAAATGAACAATGTTTCTATAATTACATTTTATTAATTTTTGTAGCATTGATTATAGTGTAAATTATGCTAGAATGTTCGAGGGGTTATCAAAATGTTCGTGGACTGAGGCTATAAACTTAGTACTATGTAGTCTGTGCTTTCGAAATTTAAAAGGAAAATAAAACAACAAAAAATAAAAACATGCTGGAAATTTTATTTTATTTCTTAGGTCTATACCAGTTGTTTTTTTTTTTTTTTTTTTTTTTTGGGGGGGGGGGGGGGACAGAATGTTATAGAATGTTGGAAAAGGAAACCCCTCCTCCTTTTTGACATTCATTTTCAATGCCTAATTTTTCGAGACACTCCATGTAAAAATTACGATAAATTTTTAAAGAACTTCCAGAATGAGTTAAAAATTCCTTATTTTATAGAACAATAGTGTTACAACACGTACCTGAATTAACGGGATTTTTGGATGTCAAATGTTCATATCAAACGGGTTTTCCTCAGTAACAATTAGGTCGGAAAAAAGTCGTTTTCGGGGTTGCGCCGCCTGGACATAACTATTGCTTTCAAAAACATTACTAATTTATTAAAGAATAAATTTATGACTTGTGGTTTTTTCTATAGATAGAAAAGATGATGGGGGCGGATCCGACGACTATGGATTGTCTACTGTCAGATCGACATTCAACTCCTCTCGTCTTACTCTCTTTAACACTTTTTTTTAAAGAGTAGATTCTACTTTTAGTAAATCATAAAAATTGATATCTGTTTCTTTTCTGCTGTCTGTTGTACAATTAACAGCAATGCAGTGTCTCACTGGCATTTATGGTTATGAAAATTCTACACTTCGTTAACATTTTTTAGTTTATGCGTTGTTATATTTGCCAAGGAAATCTCGAGAGATGTGTACCTTTTCATACTCTTTCACGAAAGAGCGTATTAAGAACTATAACCCTTCCCTGGTGGAAACAGAACGTATTGGTATGGTTGACTGAAGTCGGATAATCTAGGATGGGTAATGTCAGCTTTTCCTTCAGAATATCAATTTCTGTTTATTTCTGTTTGTTGCTCCTGGTTTCATCATTACATTTGATGTGTCATTTGTTTTCTGTTTTTGGGTATCTTACAGTCAACAATCACATTCATGAGTGGCCTACAGTATCCGGCTAAACCTAAAACTTGTCTAACATGTTCAAAACTAGCAGATATTGGCCAGTTTTGGCCTTTGGAAATTTTATCTGGGTCTGACCCTATCCCATCTGTTGAGACAGTATGTGCCACATACTTGACTCTTATCATGAAAAAGGAACATTTGTAGGAAAAAGTTAAAGACCATAATTTCGGATACATTGAAAAACCTTTTGGAGCTAGTGAAAATGATGTGTGAGAGAAAAAATATTCTTCCTGCTGACTGGGAAATTTGCTAAACCGAAACTTCTGTTGAATTCAATTTGTCGAACTCTAGAGGTCATTTTGTGAATACGGTTTTCTTTTTATGGTGTTACTTTCATCAAATTCTAGGTAGCTTAGTCGGTAGAGCGCTTGCTCCATAATCGAAGGTCCTGAGTTCGAATCTCGGCCGCGACTGGCCCTAGTCGATAAAAAATTAGGTATCCACAGCTCCTTCCCCATGTGTTTGGTACTTTGAAGTGAAATTCGCGGGTCATTCAGGAAAGACCTAAGAAAAAAGAAGGCCCAGTGTCACGGCAAGCGTTTGCATGATAAAGATCCCTCACTGTTAAATTACCCTGAGTGCCGAGTAAAAGCTTAAGTCTAAAGTCTGAAGTTCTTCAACAGTATGTGACATCTCTATACGAGTTAAAAATTCTACAATGGGACGTAAAGAAAATTATAAAAATAACCTCTAGGAGGTTCCTGAAATCCCTAAATAACTACAAAGTCTGACGATATTCTGTGCAGCGGTTTATGAGGGGTATACATTCTGACGATAGCCGGACTAGGTAAATATTAAATTTCCTCAATTCTTGGTAAGGATAGGTATAATTGTCCTTTATGATCCGAGAGTAGAGTTGTCTATAATAAATTCAAAAGAGAAGTGAACCATTACTTTTCCGGATTTAAAACCAAATTATCCAAGCAGCAAATAGATCCTTGATATGGGGCAGCAATTCCTCTTTAATGCTGGTGGTATTCTCCGATATTTCTGCTTAAATAAGATAATATCAGATAATTCAATCTGCCCCTTTACAATATTAAATGTGACGATGTCTAAATCAATAGCTGTAAAGAGGTCTTGATAAAATTATCTGAATATAAGCTCAAAAGACCATTAAACAACAAAATAGTAACAGAGCAAACACGGACCTCCGAAACATCAGAGGTAGGATCAGCTTCTATGGAAGAGTGAGCATCCCCTACCGACCGGTCACATGTCTCAACAAGCCTGTCTTTCTTCTGCAGTGATGTCATATTGGTAAATTAATCTTACTCAACAGTTTCTCTGATTCACTCAAAAATTTTACAAGGATCCTCTGTGACCACAAGCAGAATTAAACACAACTGCTTATCTTCGTTTTGGTAATATAGTTGATTATAACAGGCAATAAGTGGTATTCAACTATTCATCATAAAGATATGGATGTAGTGTTGCCTCTATATCAATATCATCTAGTATACATAATTAAGAAGATATGTGCATCATCACAATAACTTTTAGGGAGGGGATCTTCTTATTCACATTTCCATGTGATGGTGATGTTTCTGTGAGAGGAATCCCAACTCTTGTTGTCTCGTCTCTCTTTACCAGTACTAAGGCAAATTTTATAGATCTCTTCTCTGTGTATGATGCAACAGAGGGCTAAATACCATAAATAAATACCTACTTCCTGGCGGAAACTAGAGGTCATGTTCTTTTCTCGTCACAGGGGGGCACTGTAAAATATTCGTTCCAATTAATACAGGTAAATTAAGCAATACGAGGAATTGCTTGATTGTATGTTGTTTAATGTCTCTCTCGAGAATTAGAGGCGCCACTACTTGCCGGTGGAGAGCTTCAAAGTTTGTCCTATACTCGGTACTCACGGCCATAGATCATGGAGTGATTATTTTTGTGCCAACACCTGCTGCGACACGGGACCTCGGTTTATACGGTCTCATCCGAAGGACCGGTCTTCACGTCCTACAGTGGGATTCGAACCCTCGACGTAAGGATCAACTCCTTACTTCGCGACCCTAGAGCAGACGCTCTAACCACTGCGCCACGCGGGCGACACAACGAGGAATTAACAATCATGTAGTATGTCTACTCAAGCTATGCCGAACTATATCAAATTGACACAGATATAGCCAATGTAAGGCATATCCATCTGCACATTCTATTCAATACAATATCTCTGTGGTTCTTCAGACTTGAGCTTTTCTGATAAAACAGCATCTGATAATAAAGATTTGTCAGGCGACCGTCTTTTTGTTCGTCTGTCTGTAAACTTTTCAATTTTTCTACTTCTTTCTCTAGAACTTGCCATTTGCCACAAAGTAACCTTGGGTGAAGGAGAATCAAGTTTGTAAAAATGAAGGGCCAAAGGGTGATAGTTAAAATATTGTGAAAAAGTAATGACATCTTTAAAAAATCTTCTCACGAACCACTGGGTCAGGAAATTTGAAACTTCTATGGAAGCATCCTTAGGAAGTGTAGATTCAAGTTTGTTTAAATCATTACCCCTGGAGGTAGGATGGGGCCACAATTAACATTCGAGTTTTTGTAAAAAGAAAAATTAAATCTTAATCTTAAGAATAGCAAACCCATGATTGGTCATATTTATGAGGAAGCATGCTAAGGTAGTGTAAATTCATGACCTTTGGTGGAAGGGTGGAACGAAAATTAAAGTTCAAACTGATAAGGAAAAACAGTTAAATGTAAACATTTAGTTAGTGTGTGTGGATTCAAGTTAATTCAAATGTACAACCACACCCCATGCACATACCCTTTTTAGGGGTAGGTCGAGACAACTTCTGCGTTTAAGCTTTTCATACTTTATTGATTTTTACCCAGCACAGAACTCAGGTGAGCGTATTTATATGAAGCAGAATTTATTTAAAAACTTGCACATGAGAAGAAGAAAAACTTGCTTCGTCCTTCAACTATATCGTTGATGTATTTTCATCAAAAACATATTAATTTTTTAGTTCCTCCATATATGTCTCGACTAGATGTATTCTAGTGAACTTGAAATAAAAACTACCAGAGTGTGACACATCTGTTTGATATTTGAATATTTTACTAAAACGACGTGAATGATTACCTAAATACAAAGCTTTATGATAACATGGTGACTTCAACATTTGTATCGCCAATTTTCCCATTTTATGTAACATTATATGCTTATCACTTGCATATAGAGTTTATGTCTTCCAGTTCATTCGATATGCAAGAGGATTCAAATGAATACGCTGGACCTGTAAGGAGGCAAGCTATTGACAAACACGTATTTCATCAGTCTCGTTTAAAAGTCAACATTTCCCAAATCAAATTCTAAAATCGATACAATGAACTTGTTAGCAATACATTCTATCCTTAAGTCGAATGCTGACCTACGTTATCTTCTACCAATTGTTAGACAATTATTTACTCTGCATTGTCGGCGATTATGACAGGGAGGACACAGAATGTGTACAGATATGGGATAATTATTCCTCCATGGCACCTGATACCTCCTGAGATTTAGAGGTCTGTGTTTGTTCTTCTCTCTATTCACATTGCCTTTCGTGATCTCTGCTTTCATTATTTAAATAGAAAATAATGAAATAACGATTTTAACAGCCAGTATCTTGTTTTTGTTTAAATATTTGAAAAAACAAACAAACATGTCGCTTGTTCGCTTGATACAAAAATGAATTGTATGATAAACAAATTTATCGATATCCCCAGTCTCCATCCCTTTTGAGTGGTTTTTCTAAAGCTAGCAGAACTTTGACTCTTTGCCTCAGATTGCTAGTAAATCGCCACGTCCAAAATTTGTATTTGATTAAGATATTAAGAATTTGAGCAAAGATATAAACAATTATGAGACCTTTCTAATGCCGTATTTTTAAAAAAAAATATTTCATAGCATAAATATCGTGTTGAAGTTCAAATTTTTATCTGTTTTACGTTTTATTCACAGTGCGTACAAATAACGACATAATTGCCGAAATGCAAAACAAAATAAATAACAATTATCGAGAGATCATTTCTCCGTCTATCAAACAGTGCGTCCAATTCCATTTTGCTCTACATGTCCCAGACATCACTAAGTGGGTGTGTACAACTTCTTATAGTCTGCAAGCATTAGATCTGACAGTTACTTGTAGATTCGACTAATTGGAAAGGTGTAAGGAATAGCTAACGTCCATGGCGAGGGTGTGTGTTTGTAGTCGTCCAAAGTTTGGGGGAATCAGACGACAGAATGTGACGTTTGTGTTGACGTGTTACATATTTGACTTTCTATATACACGTAACAGACTGCATAAAGAGATATTTTATGACCTTGCTTATAGTTTTCCCATTATCGCAACAGAATTCTTGCTAGTTCTAATTAACCTGATGTTCATTCCGTGCCGCTGCATCAGTGTCAGTGTACCCCTCAGTCGTAAAAAAATTCCACTGACTTAAAACCTTATTGAATTCAGATGATAGGAAAACATCAACATCTGGTGGTTTGACGGAAGAAAACATGAAAGTGCACCGACTGATTTGATCGTTTGAGATTGTGGCATTTACAAACATTTCTCATTTGATTCAAGAACCCTACAAGATAATAAAGACATATACCCTGCAATTTATTTAATGTTTCACAAAAAAAAATTGCAATAAAAAAGGCTTAACATCTGCGAATCCAAAGTCTGCAAGTGATCTTTCGAAAATTTGACAATTCCTGGAGGTCGAGTACGCCTGCGCTCTAATAATAACAAAGCGTGTATCAATATTTAACGTTTTATTCAGTACTACTCATTAGTCGTTCTGTAATAACACAGGAGCTGTGTAAACTTTCAAAGTATCAGACATTTCCGTCTTACTGTCCGGAAATCCAGCGGATTAATTTTCACTTCTGATCATGGCCGTCAGCTTTAGTGTCGGAATTTCAGTAGCAGTCTTTTTATGTTCACTTCTTCAAAGTGGCGGTAAGAACATGTTGCTTTGGTTTTTCCAAATTTTAATTTATTCTATTAAAAGGAGTATTTTCAATATTTTGTCAAATAAAACGTTTTGTTTGTAGATGCTTGGGGACTTTTGTCACTATTCAAGTCTTCAACGCCGACTGAAATTTGTTACAAGAAATATGGTTGTTTTGGCACGGAGGCACCTTATACCAACACGAAGGGAATTTTACCACAAACTCCGCTGTCTCTAGGGGTTCGTTTTCTACTATACACGAGGAAAAACCCACGAAAAGCAAAAAAGCTAAGGAGATGTGGAAAGAAAGAAGATTACCTCGACGTAGACACTCCTAAACCGACCAAAGTCATTATTCACGGTTATGTTGATCGAGGACGAAAAGAGTGGGTGAAAAGAATGACAAGGGAGATAATCAAAAATGTAAGTTTTCATAAAAGACAAGGGGAATATGTTGATTTGAACATATTTTATTGTAATATAATTACAAAGGGATTGAGCACAAGTACTGAATACTTATAACGCCCTCTCCCTATACATGTAAATTACACATTTATATTGTCACAGTTAAACATGCTATATAAAGTATTCAGAATTTGCAAAAGTAAACAAAATGATGCATTTTGCATATATGTATGAATATATAAAAGTTAAATAAATTCATATATCAATATTGGTACAGTAATTAACAAGGAAATCTACCAGAATGCTTAATAAATGTTTGAACTAAAGAAAAGAGATGTTCATTCTCTGCAGCACTCAGTGATTCAACCCCCCATAATAAAACGTGTGTATCTAGATTGTGGATTGTATCAAATTGTAAAAAATTATGTAAAAAAATCATTCCTGGCGTTCGCATACTTTGGACATACGAAAAAATAATGATATGTGTCCTCAACTTTACCGCACGTGCACAAGGGACTTGATATTAAATTGCATCTATAAAGGTCGTTATTTAATACACAATTATGTCGTAGTCTGGTTTGAAGAACATTAAGTCTTCTGTTACCGTAATCAAAGTAAGAAGGTGGGGCAGATTTAGATTTTTTATTACTAATTTTAGATTTGAATTTCGACATTGACTGTAAATTTCGAGTTTCAAGTGGAATGGAGTTCCATTCGTTAACTACAGTGGGAATAAACGTAGACTTATAAGTTTGTAATCGACACTTTGGAATATCATAATTTTGAGAATATCTTGTCGAGTAGATAGATGTGTTACAGCGCATTTTTGGAAGGATGTCCATTAAGTATTCTGGCACTAAATTATTATGAAGTTTGAACATTGTTTTTAATCTAGCTTCTTGTCTTCTACAACTAAGCGGTTCCCATCCCGTTTCAAAATAAAGTGAATCTTTGGAAGCTATAGTTGTTAACCCTGTTACAATTCTAGCTGCATAAAGTTGAAGTTTTTCTAACTTATCACTATCACCCTGTTGACAGCACCCCCAGACCACTGAAGCGTATTCAAGTTGCGGTCTTATGAATGATGTATATAGTGAGAGTGTTTTTCGATTTACTTTAAATTTTAATTTTTTCAAAAGAGACAATTTTTTGTAAGCAATAGACAGTATATTATCAATATGTGGTGAATATGTTACATAGTTAATCAAGAACATGGGAAATAACCAAAACAAAGACAAGGGAAATAATCTGTAAGTAAATCACTTTTAAGATTCAACTCGTGAAAAATGCCTTTAAACTTCTGGTATAATTTATACTTTAAATGGAAATTTTCAGCACACCTCTGGGGCAAAAGTAGATGGAATTGATCTTTGACTATTGTATAGAGGAATACTATATATTTATAGTTAACTCTCTTGGAGGGTAAACCTTATGTTCATCAAATGCATCCTACTTTTTTGTTTTGATATAAATACTTATAAAATGGGTTTGATTGATGAAAAAAATATCACCATACAACTTTTGTTCTATATTTTATTTTTAATTTATTTTAATATTTTATGATTTAAATAACATTTTCAGTTTACAAATTATTTAATTGAATAAGAACACGAACATCATCCATGCAAACAAATATTTTTACCTCTTTGTATATAGGGATAACACACAAAATATAAAATAAATGAGTAATATAATAAAACTAAGCAGAAAACTTAAATTACACGTTACATAATGTTAATGGCCTCGAGTATAACTGATTGTCAAGACACCTGTTCCCAGTATCTTCTAGAAAAAATAAATCTGACAAAAATATAAACTGTAATCGTGTGTCAGTATTATTACTTTTTTTTTTCAACATGAAGATGAGAAGTGAAAAAGTACCTCTTGTTGAAAAATACAATCTTCGATTTACGATTTTTTTTGCCAGTTTCATTTATGTTTGAATTTATTCAATACGAGTTTTTACGGGGACCTGGTTTTTATTGTAATAATAAAATAAATACATGCTGGCAAAATCTTTAAAAACTCTTAAATTATTTTGTAATAAATGATGAAACAAAACAATTTTAGAATAAATTAAAATTATACAAAAACTTATGATTTTTATAACGTTTAGCATGTACATCAACAGGAACTTTTTCGTCTTCGGTTTTTTGAGTCGTGACATATGTCCTATCCCCCCTTAAATTTTACTATGGATGTTTTTTATACAGATGTAAATATAAACAATAAAATGTCTTTGTTAATATGGGAATTAACGTCGCAGCTATTGTAGAAAAAAAAAACTACATAACCCGCGTAAGTAACCCGCGGTAATGTATTTTTTTTCTGCAACAGCTGCGACATTAATTCTTGTACTAACAACGAACGAAAACATTTTATTGTTAAAGTAAATACTTTTAAATTCAGAACTCTTTGCACCTTACAATGAGGCGTGCAATGTATTTCCATCTTTCAGAAAGAGAAGTAGTCAACATGAGAAATTTTGTAGATTGTGGTGATTTTCAGGTTTTCCTGACATATCATAATTAACCTGGTTGTTGTATGGGAAGATGTTCATTCCCGTATCAAGTTGATTATAATTACCATAGTCTTGCCAAGTCCAAAGACATTGAATCCATTCTTTGTGTGAAAGAAAGGACAACCTGTCAATATCCACAAAATGTTCAGCTTGTCCTATTTTATTTCATTGGAAAAATAATACTTTAAAAGATATTTTCTGGCATGTCCGAGTATTACCATTGAAATTACACGACGATGCATTACTTTTATATATTCCTATCCAACCATTTATGTACTGAAAATTCCTTTATCCTTCGACAGATTTTTGTTGGGCATGTTTAGTTCCTTGTTATCTTTTTGTGACCTTTGGAAATATAATCTATGTCTGCCATCAGAAGATTGATAATCATGCATAATTTTTATTTGATAAAATATGACGTGATTTATTGCAAAGAAATGTTCTCTTTTTTCCCATTGCAATATGACGCGTTTATTGCATTGAAACCACACCGTTATCAGTTTTCAGAATTAAAGTGTGTTTGACGTCAAGAGAATTTCGATACGTTTGAAAATGGTTAGGTTTTGGGATGATGAGATGATATCGTCAGATCAACGTACGTATGTTTGTTACTTTTTATTAACTCTTTTCAGAGTACTGAAAATAATATGTTCTTCACATCAAGGAGATAATTATTGATATTAAAACAGATTTACTCTTATTATATTTATAAATTCGATTATAAATTCAATTAATGCCCAGTCGCACAGCACGATTCAAATCCTGATAATAAAGAGATTAAGATAAATTCAATTCTCTTTAAAAAAAAAACATTAAGTAAATTGGACCCCAAAAAGAAAACGCAACAGGCAGTCATCATAAATAAAGTTCTATTTACGTTATGAAAGTGGTGGTAGTATCATGCTTATTGAAATATAATTTCTTAATGAAAATTGTAAAATAGCGAAGGCAAGGTGTATATAAATATAGTTGAACATTGAAAGCGTTTATACTGATGATATACCAGGTTTGTATTTAAGGCTTCCCCTCTAAAATCCGTAAGGAAAACTGGTTCATAGAATAGGATTTCCCACATGGAAAAATTACTTAAGGGTGTGGACATCAGATTCAATTTTCAGGAAATTTAAATATCATGGTTGTACTTATGTATGAGGGGGAGGGGGCGAGTCCATAAATTAAAATGGCGACCATTTCCATACGAAGTAAGAAATTTACTATTTCATTTTTTCTTAGTTACTCTACATATTATTCTAAAATCTAGACAAAATGGTTTCTTATCTTTAAAAAAAGTTTACAATATAATCGGTTGGACAAGCATCCATGGAAACAAAAAAGAATGTTAAATGGATTTTTTTCTCCGCATGTATTTTAAACTACATGTACATTTGATGTTGATGTATGTGTTTCCCTAATGCCTGTTGTTTAAATATTTTTAAAAAGCCACAGATGCCATCGAACTAAAAATAAGTCATTTATGTGTAAAAATTGAATTTGCAAAGTATTTGGTGGCTGCTTTTTTTCAAATGAGATATTATAATAGCATGCTGGGTTTGAGACGTGCTTTTGCTACGGATTGTTGCAGGAGTTTTTTTTATGTATCGCTTGGTTTTGGTTTTGTTTTTTTTCCTTTTATTTTCCTCTTTGAAGAACTAATCGATTCAAATGCTCACAAAGTAGTATGCCGAACCTTTCAGTAACATAAATTTTAAACTTTTCGCACAAACTCCTATAAAAAGATATATAAATTGCACCTTTCACAGTACAACAAATCATCAAACCAGTTAAGGTTTTCCGATAATATGATATATATTTTACAATTCGTGACAAAAGTATACAGCATCAACGAAAGAGGGTATTGAGATATCGAATCTTTCGATTTCTTGTGTGATTTTCTTTAAAATTTCGTGCACGATATAAATTTTAGGTTGAGACTCAACGATTTTGAGATTTCATGCTGAATTTGACAGTTCATGAGAACAAATACTAAAATTTTAATTAAAACAGTTAGTTGACTTTTAAGAAAATCTTTTGCCAAATTTTGTCAATATGATTTGCATTGATGAAAGAGGGGCTGAATGAGGGCTGAGAGGGGCTCAAATTAAAAATAAGGGGGAACCAAAATTTAGTTCTATTGTGATTTATACTTCCATTCAGTTTCAGATTTTGGGGTGAAGTCTGGCTATGAGGGAAATCCTACCTTGTGTGTTAATTAGAAGCTCAGTAAACATCTTTTGTTGATTTATACAGGGAGATGTGAACGTGGTAGTAGTTGACTGGAAGCGCGGCGCAATGACGCTCAACTACCTCCAGGCCGCCGCTAACACGCGCCTTGTGGGGGTCATCGCAGCTCTAATGGTTGAGAAACTTAACTACACATACAATATAGCACCATCAATGATCCATATCATAGGTCATAGTCTTGGAGCTCACATAGCGGGATATATTGGAGAACGAGTCCCTGGAATAGCACGAATAACGGGTAAAATGTCATTATAAAAAGGTCATTTTCATTTATAATTTTCAAGCCAATTGACTGTAACATTTATATGTATATACACATTTTGTTGTCTATCTTTCATTAATTGCAGAAACATGAAAAGGGCGAAAAACTTCTTTGTGAAGTTTTCCAAAGGTCATACATAAAGTTCACTTGGTCTAATTGGTTTCAATTTCCTAATCATCGCTAAAAATTTAGAGGTTGCGAGAATTCTTCAGGATGTGTGACATAAATAAACAGAAGTACAGTGTTTAATATGCAAACATTCAAAAATCATATATTTGAATCTTTAAATTTTATATAAGAAGTACAATAAAGAAAACAATGAAGATTGACTGATTGATTGAATATTGTTTAAGGCCAAGTCGGCAATCTTTCAGCCATGTTTTGGCGGACCATTAGTTTAAATCAGTTTTTGAAAGTTTTTGGTTTCTCTGGCGGCCCCCATTGAGCCTACTCTTTTTCGAACTCCAGTGAAACGATCTTTTACCTGCCAAGGGGGTTGTTATCCTTGGCACGGGGCACCATTTAACGTCCCGTCCGACGGACTTGAAAACAATGAAGAAAATACCGAATGATTGATTGTATATTGTTTAACGTCCCTCTCGAGAATTTTTCACATATATGGAGACGTCACCGTATGCCGGTGAAGGGCTTCAAATTTTGACCTTTACTCGGCCCTCAGGGTCATTGAGCAGTGAGGGATCTTTATCGTGCCAACGCCTGCCGCTGACACGGGGCCTCGGTTTTTAAGGTCTCATCCGAAGGACCCGCAACTTTCACTTCAAAGTGCCGAGCGCATGGCGAAGGAACAGTTGCTACCCATTTTATCGACTAGGTCTGTCGCGGCCGAGATACGAATTCACGACCTCCCGATCACGGAGGGAGCGCTCTACCGACTGAGCTACCGTGAACGGTAAATACCGAATGAAGACACTTGAGAAGGAGTTATTGCTCTTGGTAATTGTTTAAGGATTGAATAATTACATATTCAAAAGTTTAAATTCTTTTAATAGACAATATTTTATATTAAACCTATTTTCTTCACTGCATTCATCCCAAAAAAAAATTTCTTTTGAGTTTTAAAACGAATAAAAACATAATTTGTAAAACAAAACCTATAACATTACAGCAGGATCCAAATACCATGCCAAACCGAATACACTGTAATACATTAGGCTATTCTACAATTACACGTCTCGAAGCACTGTACATGTATACTAGTATCTATAAGTAAATATGGGGAAAGAATAATGATCAATAAAATTGGAATCTATGAAATGATTCAAAGAATTCAAAATTAAAAGAAACGATGTCATATTTACAGGATTAGATCCAGCTGGCCCTGCATTCGAGGGAACGGATTCCGAAGTCCGTCTGGATTCTTCCGATGCAGATTTTGTAGACGTAATACATACGGATTCTGATTCTCTTATAAATACAGGTGTGTATTTCAGACTTTTGTAATTTGCAGTGCCACCAATAAACAGGTTCCTATATCGGGCTCTTTAGCCCTTTGTATATAACTTGTCTCGTTTTAAAGATTTACAACCCGGATTTGGGACCAAACAGCAAATGGGAGACATTGATTTTTACCCAAACCACGGAAATAACCAACCAGGCTGTGCGAATTCCGTTCAGGATCACTTCAAATTATTCTTCTCTGGAAATGCAGGTAAGAATTTAAACATGCTGATAAGCCATTGGAGTCCGTTATTTAATAGCTGATATAAGCAAAGGCTTCAAGTGAACTACCGGTAAGGTTTTCCCTTTTCCCCCTTTATTTTTTCTTCAAAAATGAACAAGGTACAAATGGAGCTAATGAAGTTTGGGAATCCTTTATAAAGGATGGTGCTTTCGAAGAATAAAAACGGTCTTTATGTACACGTAAACTGATCTATGGAACAACTAGATCCGAAAAGATTAAACGATTGATTGATTGTGTATTGTTTAACGTCCCTCTCGAGAATTTATCACTCATATGGAGACGCCGTCACTTGCCGATGGAGAGCTGTTTGCTATACTCGGCACTGAGGGCCATTGAACAGCGAGGGATCTTTTTCGTGCCAGCACCTACTGTGACACGGGACCTCGGTTTATACGGTCTCCTCCGAATTAAGGACCGGTATCCGCGTCCCACAGTAAGATTCGAACCCGCGACGTTAGGATCAACTCCAGGACCAACTTTAGAGCAAACGCTCAAACCACCGCACGACGCGGGCAACAACAAAAAAAAAAACAAAAGAGTAGATTCAAATTTCGACACTATTAAGGAAGAAGCTGCACGTGGCATGATGCATCTATAATAGGAGTTACAAAATTTATCAAGGGAGAACATAAGGATACATGCTGGGGATCCGGGTTAGAATAGGTCCTCAGTACCCCCTTGCTCGTCGTAAAAGGCGACTAAATGGGGCGATCCTTCGGATGAATATGAACGAGGCCCCGTGTCACAGCAGGTGTGGCACATAAAGATCCCTCCTTGCTCAAAGGCCGTAAGTGCCAAGCATAGGCCTAAATTTGCAGCCCTTCACCGGCAATGGTGACGTCTCCATATCAGTGAAATATTCTGGAGAGGGACGTTAAACCGTATACAATCAATCAATCAAATGAAAAGCACTGTTAAAAGTAGTCTAATGTGTGCGTTATAGCTGTTATAATTTCAACATAGAAGGTAGTGATCCTGAGTAATATATAAAAATCTTATAATGTATGACTATTACATGTAGGAGCTACATGTGTATAAAGTCACAGGTATCATCAGGTCGATAGAATTTAGTTTGTTCAACTCATGGTTTACGATAAGTCAAAGCAAGAGTTCTGTGTTTTTTACGAAAAGGAATTTGTGTTAACTAGGCTTTCTGGAATAGATGTACTAGCAGTTAAACATTTCGTCATCTCAATGGTAGGTATCAAATATATTAGAACTTTAAATTGTCATATCGGTGACAAGCATCAATATGTATACTGTACATTTTTCGGCGAAATATTAGTTTTTTGATATTATTTAAATATATATACATGTAATTTGATTGTGTATTATGGACTTAGTGGCTCAAGTTACCGATTATGTGTATTAAAGTGATTCAAGACAAGTCTTTTGTATTCTGCAAGATATTACCTTTTCCATAAAGCAACTTCGAGAATATTTAACAACTCTTTTACTACATGTACCTGTTCTTATTGTATTTTTTAAAAATGTATTTCAGATTTTATGCACCTGGTTATATGCAATCACCTACGAGTCCTTAGACTGTTTACAGAGTCTATAAATGGACCATGTCATTTCCGGTCGAACCCTTGCACAATGGAACTCCTAGGAAATCACGGATGTGACTCATGTGGTACTCGTGGGTGTGCCATCATGGGATATCATGCAGATAGAAATCGAAATAAAACAGGAGTATACACCCTTACTACGAACGATAAATCACCTTTCTGTCTAAAATGAACGTGTCAGTTGTTTTTTTTTCAGGTGTTTAGACAGTATTAAGTTTAAGACAGTAATGACTGTATATTTTGTACCACTCATAAACTGAGAACAGACTTAAGTCAAAATTTCACATCAATATACATTTGAAAAAAAAATTGATAATGAAACATTTGCGCAATTTGTTGGAATTTGAACATTATACATCGCAAAAGTTTAGAACATATAAAAGATATTCAGAATCAAAAGTTTGACTTAAGTCTTTTCTCAGTTTATGGTTTCCAGGCCTGCTTGATAATGTGTACATTTATTATAAATAGCTGGACATGGCACTGATTTTTGTATAGGTTTTTAATCCAAGAAAATTATATGCTTGATCTGAAGATATTGTTAAGTTTCGACTGTTATATTTTCTTGTGAGGTTGTCTTGTACCGCTATTTCCTAAATAAAAAAAAACAGTGCTGTGCTGCTTGTATGCTGCCAACATCAGCGCTCCTATCGTCTGATAAAATGAATTTTGAATTTAACCGGGATATAGTTTGTCATGTCCGTCTTCCAGTCTGTCACACTTTGTGTTTAGCTCAGTATGAAAGAATTTTGAACAGCCTTTCATATATAACCTTAACAAAATTTATGCCGCCCCCAAAATTGAAGATTCGGGGGTATATTTTTTTTGCCCTGTTTGTCTCTTAATCGGTCTGTTTTTTCCGCAAGAATTGTAACCATGTTCATAACTTTTGATTGGTTGAGCCTATGGCTTTCTTATTCCTTATGACAAAGACCTTTTTATGGCACCATCAAATCTGTCCTTGACCTTAGACTACCCCGTTTTGCAAATTTTTACACAACTTTAACCCTCAACATACCGGTAACTTTTTAACGTCGAGGACGTTAATTCTTCACATACTTGAGCCGTGTGAAAAGACCTTCCATTGTGTACCAAACCCTTAGATCTTGACCTAGGAGTTTGATCGACTTTTCATGCTCCAGTAATTTAAGATTCGGAGGTATATACTTCCGTCTGTTTGTCCGCAAAAAACATTAACCTTGCTCTTAACTTTTGAATGGAGGGAGCTATGTCTTTCATATTTCACAGGTGCATTCCTTGTGACAAGACCTTTCTATTGATACCACCAAATTAAACTCTTGACCTTGGAGTTTGACCCACTTTTACATAGAAATATAAACTTTAACATTGGTCATAACTTTTAAACTGTTGGTGCTACAGTTTTCATACGTCACATGGGTATTCATTGTGAAAAAACCTTTCAATAGTTTAAAATTTAAAAACTTTAACTATGGCCCTCACATTTGAACAAGTGGTGTTAGGGCTTTCATATTTCACAAGTATATTTCTTGTGAGAAGACCTCCCTTTGAGTACCAACATATTTCAATTTGATCTGCATATGAGAAAGTTAAAACTTCGTTTTAAGTTGCCATACAGGGGCTTCAGTGTTTCACAAACACATATTGTTGTCCCCTGCTTTCGCAAAAGTAGTGATGGAACGATTGTCGAAAAATTAAATTGTCATACTTTAATTTATTATCAAATTCAAGTGCAAAAAGCATAAAAGTGGTGATGAATGTGGAAAACATGGAAGGATTCCGTGTCTTGTTGATACTTTTACCGCAATGATTAAATTTGGGGTTAGACTAAAACCAGGAAACGGTGATATTGCAAGGTTTTACTACACAAAGGAAAACATAATTAGTCATTCTGTTTCAATAGTCCTACATTGTTTGAAGTGAACAAAGTATTATTGTCCCCCGCTTTCGCGAAAGCGAGGGGACATTAAATCTCATTCGTCTGTCCGTCAGTCTGTCAGTCTGTCCGTCTGTCCGTCCGTCACAAAAACTTTAACCTTGCTCATAACTTTTGATTTAGTGGAGCTATGACTTTCATATTTCACATGTGTATCCCTTGTGACAAGACCTTTCTTTGGGTACCACCATATTTGATCTTTTGACCTTGACCTTGGAGTTTGACCCACTTTTACACAAAAATTCCGAACTTTTACTTTGACCATATCTTTTAAATGGTAGAAACTAGGACTTTCATATTTCACATATGTATTTCTTGTGGCAAGACCTTTCACTGGATACTAACAACTATGACCTTTTGACCTTGACCTTGGAGATTTCCGTACTTTTGAAAAAACTTTAACCTTGACCATAACTTTTGAACGGTAAGGGCTAGGGCTTTTATACTTCACAGATGTAATTCTTGCCAAAAGGCCTTTCATTAGATACCAAGAACTTTGACCTTGACCTTGGAGATTGACCTACTTTAAAAAACTTTGACCTTAGCCATAAGTATTGAACGATTAGGGTTTTCATCCTTCACTTATGTATTACTTGTGACTTTCTTAAGAAATCAACAACTCTGAACCTTTCACCTTGAAGTTTGACCTACCTTTCAAAAAAATATCCTTGACGATAACTTTTGAACAGGTGGTGCTAGGGATTTTGTATTTCACAATCGTATTTCTTGTCTGAAAACCCTACTTTGGGTAATAATAAATTTTATTTGCATTTAAGAAAAGTTAAATCTTCGTTATGTTGCCATACGGGGTCTACATTGTTTCACAAACACATTTTGTTCCCTATATTGAGAAGAGATTGGGCTTTTATATTTGACATGTGCATTACCTGTGACAAGATATTTCCGAGCATGCTATGATTTCTTACCCCTTGACCTTGATATGCACAATTGACCTTATTTAAAAAAAAATCAACTTCAGTGATAATTTCTAAATAAATGACATTTGATAGGGTGTTCATATTAGACTAAATATGTCATAAAAAGGACATCTCACCCAGAAAGAAACCGAAAGCGGGGGACCACAATTCTTTGAATTTGCTTGTTATATTTAGTTTAAACATTTCTATATTAATTTCATTAAAGTTCAAAATTTCGATTATAATCGATTATTAATCGATTATGCCCAGCCGATTATTACCGATAATCGATTCTGATTTTTTTTCCGAGTCCCTATCACTAGGCGAAAGCGAGGGAACATTAAATCTCATTCGTCTGTCAGTCTTTCAGTCTGTCCGCCCGTCACAAAAACTTTAACCTTGTTCTATCTTTTGAATGAGAAGAGATAGGATATTCATATTACACATGTAAATTGTTTGTGACAAGACCTTTCCATATAGACTTTGATTTTTGACCCCGTGACCTTGACGTTTGACCCGTTTTTTAAAAATTTAAACATTACTTTTAATTGGCCATAACTTTTGAACGAGAAGAGATAGGGCTTTCATATTAGACAAGACCTTCTTCAATATACTATAAATTTTGACTTCGTGACATTGAAGTCTGGCCTACTTTTCAAAAAACTTGAACCTTGGTCATATCTTTCGATATAGAAGGGATTTATCCCATTTAAACAAATTTGTGGGAGAAAAAATCCCCTAGGAGAAAATATCCCATCTAACATTTTTCTCCCATGGGAGAAACGTGGGATAGTTGGTGGGACTTAAAATCCCACCATTCTCCCATGGGATTCTGAGTTTTAGGACTTCATATCTTTAGAAGTGGAAATGTTTGCGAGTTCAACATGAGACCGTGAAATACTGCTAAGAAACCCCACCAAGTGATATACAGATATTTTGGATATAATTAGAAATGGTAGTAAAAAGTCTGGCCTATGTCGTGTTCCGAGTTAAATGTCGTACTGTTAAACCCATTCCCTTGTAATGTCAGCTACTGCTCAATGTTGTGTACAGAGTTGAACAAATTGATCACACCCGTGTCAGCTCGTGCTCAGTGTTCAATTGTTAAACTCTGCACACACCACTGAGCACGGGCTGACAAAACTGATGTGTTGGCTTTATTTTCGCACATTTCTTCTCTGAATTATAATTAATATTTTGATATAGAAAATTAATATTAAATTGTTAAAAGATAGAAAATATCAAATTAATCCTGTATATATAAGGTAGAAATGTAAACATTTAAACTTACATGGCTTGATTTCATTTTCTTTAGTTCGCGACGTTTCTTGTATTCAACACTGCTTTTTCTCGATTTATCTTTGTCTCTCCTATTGGCCATTCTCCTCTCATGTACCTTTGTGTGCAGTCCTGGTGAAAGCATCAAAGTATCATATACCTAAAAACAAAGTCAAATGAATATAAATGTGCAGAAAGACTTGTACATGTATTTCCCAGAAAATTATAAGTACATATATATGGAATAAAATTTTATATGCTGACATATAACCTGTAATTAAATTTCAGTCTTTGAAAGCAATACCTTTTCAATAGCCATGTGTCCAATATTCTACAGCAGCAGCTACTCTAAATGCTGTTCTTTCAGAACCACCAAAATATATGTGCTTTGGGTTCTTGCAAGCCACAGTTCTGTTGAAGTTTTCATTGGCTTGTGTGCTTCCAAGATTTGAAAGTTTGCTTGCATTTTTAGCCATATCTGTAAATACTTTATTCAAATCTTTGTATAAATCCATACCAGACAGATACTTCCCATAAGGCAAGTGTAATGGTTTGTAGTTGTCTGGGTCCTGAAGATATTTGCACCATTCACTTTCACAGACCTTATGGTCTCCAAATACATGAGAAGGTATGGTTTCTACGTGTGTCCTGTCCTTGTAGGATTTCACTGCCTATACGAAAAACATTTCAGTAAATGTGGAATTGGTTTTGGACCTAAAAATGATACTTCTTCTCTTTCTTCATGTCATATAATTTACCTGCAAAATTGTTTACGTATGATTAAAATACTTTTGCCTTTGCTAAGGTTGTCGAGTAATTATCATTGATGAAAGTTTTTACTTGGGAATTGCGTGCTTTCAAGTCTTGTAGCATTTCTGAGGCCAAATCACATTCCATCGCTTTGGAAGATTTTTCCGAATTTCTTTGACAATCATGTTCGGTAACTTATGAGTCTGCTTTAAAATCCCTGATTACAGAAGCATAAAAATGGTTGATAAGTACACGTTAACAAATACACAAATAAATTTAAAAGTATTATAGTATTAAAATCACATATAGCCAATACCTGCATTTCTTGCAACGAACAGCATATGAAAGAATATTTCCTGTGTTTTTTTTCCAATCGTACTTGCATGTCCTTGAAAGATGAAATGAAGACGGAATTACAAGTTCAACTACAAAAATCAATTAAATGTTTTTAAAAGTTATGATAATCAAATATTGTGTATTCTAGTATATTGGATGTTGTTTGATAAAATAAGAAGCAGTCAGATATAGCTGTTACCTGATAAACTTGCATATCTTCGTCCACTTCCATTGGTATGCCATCCAGCATCAAAGAACACAGAATGATTTTCAGGATCTTGTGATCTAAATTTATATGACAATTACATTCTCTGCTTAAACTAATTTTATACATAATTCATTTACATAGCCTTCTTACCTATTCTTTTCCTCGATTAGAGCATCATTTTATGTTTCATTAGCTATGGCTTCAGAAACATCACCAACCTCTCTCTTTCGTCGCTCAAAAGTCACTGATGATTAAGAGTGGCAAGAAAATTATTATTATCA